GGGCGGCTGGCCCACCTCGCTGCTGCCCGGAGCGGGGCGCTGAGATACGCTCCTCGGAAAGGGCTGCAGGGAGGGCATGGGACAACCGACTCGGCAAGCTGCCGGGCTGGTTGCTGTCGCCGTCAAGGAAGTGCCTTGTCGAAACCTTGTGTAAGCCCAGTCATCTAGAAACCATAGTTTCCGCTGTCATCCGAAACAGTCCTAAGTTCAATTCCTTAGGCTACAAGTGACCGCTTTGAGTATGGGTTACCCACAGGACGGCGTACCTTGTTCTGAGCGGTCGGCGCCAAAAGGTGTGTTCCCGGTGTGACTCAACGCACGGTATCTTTTATTTGTTTTTTTTTTTTTTTTATGCTCTTCTGTACCAAACACCAGGCTGGTATGTGTACCCTGGGCTGCTTGCCGGTTTGTCACAGCCGCGGTCAAGCACCTCCCCTCGCTGGTGACGAAGGTGGGCGAGAACGATGATTTGTATTTTCATGATGGCTAGTGCTTCTCGTCAGACCAGGAGCGGTGGATAAAATGGAAAGGCAGAAGAGACCGTTCCTCTTTCAAACAGCTCTGAAAAACTGATTAAAAAAAAACGTACAGACAGAAACGCCTCTGAGGGGATTGCTGGGAGACGGGGCCGCAGGCAGTGCGACACAGCATAGCCACAACCTGTGAAATCGGGTATCCCAAAACCCCCAGTGCCACCCACTGTCCACAAAAAGAGGAAAAATCAACCTCCCATATTCCCCACATCCTTCCTTCAAGTTTTCAGCCTCTGTTGAGGAAGACCCAAGTGCTAGCAGCGTACACAAGCTCTTTTAGGACTTGGCTGATGTTTTTGTAGGCAGGGCTCTGCTGCAAGACGTGGCAGTATAAAACCCCACAGTGCACTAAGCTGTGCTAGTTCCTGTTTTCAGTACCTTACTTTCTGTAAAACAGTGCCTTCTGCCTCCCAAGTTCTGTAAGACTAAGTAATGCACTTATCGACACTGTTTTTAGTGAAACCCGAAATACGTGTCTCCCTAAAGAGACCGCCTAAAGAGGCGGTGCAAGTACAGGCCTCATCTCTTTCAGAGGCACTTGGGTCCCCTCACAGTGCAGTGAGAACTTCATGATCCAGGGACATATCCTCCACAGGTACAAATAACTGACTTTCCAGTGTTTTTTAGGTTAAAACACACAATGACAGACTTTTACAATAAGTTGTAAGGCTTGTTTTAGTCCCATGGGAGATGAACGTGTGAGCGTCTCATTCTGCATCCAGCTCCTGGAAAGGACAGAGGTGATGCGTTAATTCATTACATTCAGTACTTGACTCAAAGGGCAGTTCTAAAAACTGTGTGTAGTGCCTCTCCATTAATTCTGGCTAGATTATAAAAAAGCAGCTGTGCCAAACAAATTTGGAGATTTGCTCTTCCCACATCCCACATTATGCACTTTCTGGTGGTGTTAGTTGTAGAGTGGTAAGCAAGCTATACCAAGGGAAAGCTGTGCACACAGGCAGATGTCTTCATTGGTAACAAAACAATATTTTTGAAATAAGTCTGTTTAACAGCACCTAGAAAGACAGCTAGAAACACAATTGCATTTGTGATCATTTTGCACGTGTTTCTTAAAACATAATTACAGTTATGTAATTGGCTTGACTACCAAATTTACTGAAAGACACTGGTGGGCTCGGTGGGCTCAGCTCTGGCTGAGGTAGACTTGCCACATCAGCTGCTGCGTGTGCCCATGGCTGTGCAGGAGGTGTTAGGTGTATCACAGCATAAACCAGTTTAGCTGAGTCCTAAAGAGCATCTGGAGTGGCTTCTCTGTTTCTATCTTTCTGCCCTTTCTGTTACAACTACAATTTCCACCCTTTCCTAGGAAAACCAGCCCCATGCTGAAAAGCTCATGGTTCATGGTGCAGCTCCTGCAGCTCGTTGCGTGCAAGCGGAGGGCTGTGGCTGCGGGTAGTGCGCCATGCAGCTTGGCTGTGCCCAGGCAGCTGCAGCGGAGGAAAGGCAAACGGGGAGCGTTGTCATTTTAAAACACTGAGAAAACAGAAAGCGGATGGTGCCTCTTTTAAGGGTTTATGCTGACTTATTTTCCCCTCCCTGCTATCCCTGCTCATAAATTGTGCTCGCTTGAGCCCATACGAGTGTTTGTTGGACCACGCTGTCAAGTCCAGTTCACTTCAGGGAATGAACCTGAGTCCGGGTTGAAGGATTCACCCAGCTGAAGAAAGCAATATATCTGATTGCCCCAGTAGAAAGACAGCAGGCAGCTCTGGAGGCATTTCCTTGGCCTGTGGTTGTAGAAAACTAGTATAACAAAACTCAATATACGACTTTTGGAGGGAGGAGACAATTATTTTTGCAAGCACCAAGACACCTTTGCCCAGAGGGGCTGGCAAGTCGGAGAGGACAAGGAGCTTCAGCAGTCGCGTCCCCATTGTATCTCCTGGGTTCCTCTGGCTTGGTGATGACAAGCTGGTTTTTGGACAGTCTTTTATACCCCCTAGTAGTCAGCAGTTGTTATGGTGCCATTTTTTTCCCTCAGGATTTTGCTTATTTCATTCTCCATGAATCTAAGGCAAGGTTTTTACCCCCTCCCCCCTTTTTGGGGGGTTCTCTCGTTCTGGATGTCTTTACAGCTACAGAGTCTCTTCCTGCCAGAAAAATAGGAAGAGGAAAGCTGTGTACAACCTGGCGTAACCTGGTCGCCACCCTGCTGCTGTCAGCGCCCACGTCTGGTGGAGCCGAATCCCCTGTCCTGGGCCTCAGCAGAGTGGTGGCCTTTTGCTGTGTGTGTAAGCAATACATTGCTGTTTTCAGTCTCTGGTAAAGGCGGTGAGGAACGTGGTAGGGCAGAAGGAGGAGTCAACACACCAAGGCCCCTTACCTCTCCAATTACTCTCACGGTTAAGGATACTCTTCCTTGAATTACCTGTTATTAGGTGATCTGAAGTGGCTCCCTCTGCCTGCTCACCCGGCGTTGCCAGCAGCAGAAGCGTGGAGCGGAAGAGGGCAGCTCGGAGGTGCATCTCTTAAGCGCCTCCACTGGAAGTGCGTGCAGCACCCTCCGCCTCAGCACGTCCCCCCAGCTTCACAGTACATCCTTCCTGATCAAGCTGGGGCAAGACTACTTGGAAGGCTTGATGGTTATCTGAGAAGACAGAGTGGGTACAGCTTCCAGAAAACATCTCTGAAAATCAAAGGAGCTGCATAAAGCTCATACCTGATGCCTGAACAGACGGTTTCTCCATTGCACAGCGGCTGTATTTCCAGCTCGTAAGCAACGTATTGCTGTGATACACAACTTGTGTAACACGTAGCCCTCTCTAGCTAGTCGTTTTGCCCAAATATGAGGCCTGATCAAACAACCAGAGCAGACTGGTCAGTTTTCCCTTTATATATTAATAGAATAATGTACAACTTTTCAAGAACTGCTGTTGATTTATCACTTGAGGTGAAGCATGGAGCTTATGAAGCATGGAGCGAGCAATCTCATAGAAGAGATGACTAAGAAACAGGGGGGAAAAAATTACATGGGCACTGAGGAACCGCTGCTTGGTGTGAACTGTGGCTTCTCCAGGTCTCTCCGCTCTGTTTGTCCAGCTCCTGCCCAGGCTTCCAGCCCTCTGTCCAGCCCCGCTGCTGTTCCCAGGATCCTTAATGCCCTGCACGGCCCCTGCTCTGACGCGTGTTATGGGCTTTACCTACTAGCTCATGTTTCCAGGTGGTAACGTGTTGCAGACATTTAACCAGGTACACAAAACGCCCTAAGCTTCAGGGCATTCTCCTGAATAATGTGTTTACCAAACCTGACGTGCAGCCTGTTGCTCTGCAACATACAGCCGCTGCGCTGATCCCAGCAGGCGAGACAGGCGCCCTAGGAGCGGGCTGCAACACCGCAGCAATTGGCTGGTGGCCTTGCACCAGGCCAAAGTCTCCAGGGCACTAGCAGTTGTCCAAATACTACAGGCAGCTAATGGTGCCATGCAGGTGTTCAGATCTCACAGGTCTGATTTTCCGCTTTTCAGATGCCGTGGGAATGCCTTACATTAGGGAGAGTTACCAGAATAAGTAGTTCAATGCAGTCTTATTGCATAAACGTTATGATCTCTGCTAAATTAGAAGTAAATTTTATCTTGAAAATTCATTTACCTTCATATTTTCTGGTAGAAATTATGGATTTTTTTTCTCCAATAACATTATTAGTGATCTTGGAGACTTCTCCTAAGTACTCTACTTGCATCCAGCTCGCTGAAATCTTGGATAATTAGTTTGTTATCTATGAGGGCAGAAATACATGTAGTTAAAATTCGAAACTATAATTTGAAGGCACTGAGTATATTGTTAATAAAAAGGGAGACTTAAAAACTGTATACATCATGGGAACAGGTGCTCAGATTAATAACTTAAGAGACTTTAAAAACACCTGTCTATCCAGCGATACGATTCTTACAGTGCTACTATAGAAGCACAAATGGAAGCACAATTAGGTGTAGTCAGCAGAAGGACTATGTTTCTCATTTGTTGGTCATACCAACCATCCAAAGCATGGCTAGGGTGAAACAGCGCGCCAGCGCCGGCCGAGGAGCCACGCTGCCTGGCCGAATCCCG